GCTGGGACATTCTAGGACACGGACATTTGGACATGTCCCAAAATGTCCCATGTCCCAATCTACATATCGGACATTGTTCCATGTACATCACTGCCGCTATGGCCTTTTCGAATTATAGTTGCAGGGGCTAGCAATTCTGGTAAAATGAATATGATTCTAAACTTGCTAGTGATAAACAAACTTTACTACATGTTTGGAAAAAAAAAGAGATCTAAAATAGATGAACGCAATATTAAATGTGATGATGTGATATTATATAGCCACCACCTTAACGAGCCTAAATATGGTATTGTTCAAAATTTTTATAAATATCTTGCACAAAATAAATCTAAGTCATACTATGAAGATATTACATTCTCTACACTCACTCCTGATAAAATTCCAGATCTAAAAAAGTTTAATTCTAAAAGAAGTACACTAATAATATTTGAGGATGTCTGTTCAGACCCTCCAGTTATACAGAAAAAAATTATTTCATATTTTAGTAGAGGTTGCTATGAGAATATTTCTTCTATTTATGTCTCACAAAAATTTCACAGGATTCCTACGGATATTTGTAAAAATGCAACGCATATTGTACTCTTCAGTAGTAGAAGTTCAACTCGAAAACTTGCTGATATTATAAGTCCTTATACAGATACTGATCTGCACAAAGCTTCAAAGGTCCTCAATGGTTATTTGAGACAAAAGGAATTTGTGGTCATCGATATAAATAAACCAAGATCTGAATCTTTTTCACTTCGATAGGACACTCCGCTCAATTTAGAAAGGGAAATTGAATTGTTAGGCAATACTTCTAACTAGCTATTCCAGGTAATCAATTGCCTCAAATAATTATTTACCTGTCAAATCCTGAAATGTATATTTTTTCTGAACTTCTAGATCATATTCAGATTTGCTACACCTCTTCAACCATAAACCTTTTTCACGAATGTTAGAATACGTATTTGGTTCTATAGTTATATTACTGTACTTTATGTAAGAAGGATCTGATTAACAAGAGCGATAATTTTTTTATCCTTGATAGATATAATATCCTCCAGTTACTGGCATCTATTCTCTAACAGATCAATGGACTTTTCAGCTGATGCAATAGTTTTTTTCGTATCAGGAATTATACTTTTGAAGAAAGCTACTGAATCTGATAATTGGATGACTTTCCCGCCACTCTCTTCCAAAGACCTAGTTATGGTTACCTTACGAGACTTATACTGCTCTTGCAAATCGAGAAGCTCTTCAATTTTTTTTTCCAATACTTGTTTTGATATACACAACTCCTCATTTTCTTTTCTTAACAAATTTTCACAGTCGCTGGTAATATGCTTCATCCTCTGATGCTCTTTTTTCTTAATATATTTTTTAACTGCCTGATTTAACATATCTTTTACTTCGGGGTGAATACCACTTGCCTGTTCCAACGATAATAGGTATTTTTGAAATGTAAGGCATCGCTATATATATATTTTTATGGATTGAGGAAGTTGGTTAAGTTGCTTCGAGTAATATATGTGAAAAGATGATATAAGTATATTATTGGTCATTTTATACAAAAAAAATAAAAAATTCTAAGAATCTAAGAATTTTGTGCATTCAGGAAATTTACGTGTCAGTTTCGTGTCAAATCTGATAGATTAGCTAGAAATATTAATTCCATCATCAGAAAACATGTGACTTTGATTGTTAACTAGTTAACAGTTTTTATCATGTGATACAGATAATAAATTTTTTAACGCTGATCACTGCTAGAAATTAATAGGTTATGGAATCACCAGATTTCTGGGATGGGCCTTTCAAAAATTGCCATGAAAAAAAAATGTATATTTATGGAATCGACCGCCAGGGTCAGGTTTATTGATATATGTACAGCAACTTCAGCTGATAAAATTACAGGATAAAAGATATTAAATACATTCTAGAAATTTGTGCTTTTTTTCTTACTCAATCTTTCACCTTTGCGTGATGTTGGACTTCTCTCACTATTTTTTCTAGATCTTTTTTATAAACTATTGGCAATACTCTGTATATTTACAATAATTCCATTCTAAAAAAAATCTGTAGTTAGTATCAACTTGCCTTAACAAATTTCGAAAAATACTTTTTAGAGCTGGTATGAATAAAAAATTCTTACTCGTAGAGTCAGTAAAGCATGAATAAATTCTTCTACTTCTTCTGCTGATTCTTTGCGAAAAGGTATTTTTGCTCTAGAAACTGGAAGATAGTACTTGACGCCTTTTTCACATATCAATCTATGTATTTCGATATATTCCCCTGCGATATTAATACCAAGCCCTATATAATTTCTATTAAGAGACTCTCTTTCACATATTTTAAAAAGCTCATCAGTACTGTTTATACAGAGTTGAACTAACTTATTATGATCGTTACGAATTTTTATCATCGCAATTCTATTTTCCACTCTCGACATATATAATTTCTTCTCATTTACTACGAAAAATCACACGAATCATAAGGTCTGGCTTATTCCCCCTTGACCCTTTTTGTTGTTGAACTTTATGGTTTTTGCTAGCTATACTCTGTCGTTCAGCTCTTGTAACTTCAATCTCATAGTCTACAGGCAAACGGTACATAGTGGTATTCATTAGTTGAGCTATAATCTCTATAAGAGAATTTTCTGAGCCACTAGAAACCTTATGAAATGCATTTAATTTTATCTCTTGTAAGAGTACGTCAGTAATTCCTCTTGCTACAGGTTCCTTTTCATGTTCTTCTTCGACCCATTGGTCATGTGATACTGTTTCTGATGATGATAGTACAAATTTGCGTAATCGATTAATTTCTTTCCTTTTTAATATAAAATCGGCACATTCGTCCTTTCTTTTGGAACTTTTAGTCAACTCTCTTATACCAGCCTTTTTTCTCTAGAAAAATGTAGAAAGCAGTTAGTACATATCTTCGATTAATAATAAATCAATTCATTTCATACCACAAGATCGATATGATTATTTTCTGAGAGTTGGTATTTATCTGAACTAAGATCAATTACACCATTGCATAATAGATCATCTTGTGACAAATCATTAACTTTAGCTTCACAAATCTTCATAAATATATGGTCGTGAGCTGGTGTTTCCCCATTTTTAATAGTACTTTTTAAAATAGTTATATTATTAAAAGCCGTATCCCTTCAGGTTATATATAATTTAAAATTTTCCTCATAATTCACCTGCATCTATCAACGATATGAGCTCGTCATGAGAATAATGAATCTAAAAATAGAGGCAGGTTAATATATTCACAAATATCATTCTTGCGCAAGTAAGGAACCTCCCACCTAATCAGTAATTGCTAGCATTTTTTACTATCTATAGTCAGCAATATAAGTATAATGAAAAAGAACCCTCACAAGTATATAACTGCTCAATTCGATTGCATTATACTCATTAATGCAAACAGTTTATATTCATCATTTTTTAATAAATAGTAATAATACCGATAATGAACTACATTATTTATTCTGTTAATATTTTGTAATGATTGAATATGCTCCTTACGCTCAGTATTAATGATTTTATCTTCAATGCTTCTTAATATATTAATAAATCACTTGCAGTCTTCTTCTTTAGATTGAATCTTAAATAGCTTCCATTGTTGAGTGAATATTCTAGAAATAGTAATTTTTTCCAAAGAAGCGGTTTTTAAAAAGTCATATAAAGGAACAAAAATTTTAGTTGATGAGGCAGTTGAGCTAGACATATTAAAAAATGGAATGATCTTGTTAGTATTTTATAATAACGCAAGTAGAAATAAAATCACTATTAAGCGAGAAAAGACTAAAATTTCATATACTGCCCTTTTAAATGACTCCATTCACATCTTCTCTAAGCCTGAGTTCATGTTGGAATCGAAGCAGAAGGTACTTTACGCTAAAATTTTGTGTTAGAAAATAAGGGCATACAGAATATGCATTGAAGATCTCGATATTTTCAAAGGCGTTGGGGGATAATGCATTTATGAATTTTTTTCGCTCAAACTACACAAAGACCCAGCATGTATATAGATATTATTCTACTCAAAATATAATAGAAATATCACGTCCCTCCAGAGCGAATATACATATCATTAAATGCTATTCTGCTAAATATTATTTGGCTAAATGTTGTAAGGAAAAAAATTCAAAATATTTTGGGAATCGATTTCTTATCTGTAAAAATTAATTTGTCGTATAAACAGTCACACAGAGTTACAGATGATTTGTGGAGAATCACTTATTACATCATATGCACTTTAATGAGGATCGAAAACATGTTAATTTATGTTATACAGGCTAACATGCATTGGCCGTGAGGCGTTTCGCATGGCCAGACAAATATATTATTTTATTAAGATAATATTCGGGATCTGGATCAAGAACTGATCTGGAAAATTTGGCACACGATCTCACAATTATCATCCAAATCTGTGTAATTTATAGTAATATCCTTCCCATAAATATGATATATGTATTTTAACGGCGAATTGCATATAGGTTTTATTACTGATGATTTACTCTTATATGCCTTGTATTCTGAAATTCTGATAAAATATTCATAATTATATTTTTTATGAATACTATAATATCTAGGATTCTGTAGCCATTTTAACATGTCAAGCCAATATGTACCTCTAACAACTATATAGCCTTGCTGATATAATAATTTCTTAACAAGTATGTATGTTGTAAAAGATAATTGTTACCATAATTGGGCTCTCTTCTCATACATCTAATCATTTTTTACTGGATAACAACGTCCCTTATCTCCATAACAAATATATCCTGGTTGTCCTGATTCATTTTTCATACCTAAAAACTTTATATCATCGGGAGTATCATCATTCCTCACCACCTCCCAAATTTGTTTTGCTAATGATTTGGGTCTTTTCTTGTAATTCCTATAAGCTTGCTGGATTAATGTTGTATAGAAATTTTCAAACTGATAGTTATATTGTCTTGCAATCAAGAATCCCCAAGTATGCTTCATTGATCTTCCTGAACTTCTTGAAAAATAATTTACTAAAATAGTTATATATTAGAGGATCTAACCCAGAATAGGCAGATCATATTTTTTATCCAGCAGGTAATACATTTCACAATTTCACTAGGTAATCATGCATGCAGATTATATAGCTATTCATTACACAAAAAAATAAAGTATAAGTTATACATTGCGCCTTTGGCTAAATAATATTAATCTTCAGTTAGTCTATAATTAAGATATTACTCAGAATCGGTTAGTTAAACGAATGTAATTTTTATCTCATCTTTCAATCTTAATGCGGACTGATTAAGATGATTTATAGATGGTAGTAAGTTATTTTGTTTTGCATACTGAGACGAGATAAATATTTCATTTGTATTACTCTCTTTTGATCTATCAATCTGCGGAAGATAGAATGGTTGCATCTTTTGACCATTGCTCATAATCTGATTGAATTCCTTCTATTTTCGATTATTCAAAAAGGCACGTTTCTGTTTGATGCGCCTAATTCTTCAGGTAACATTTTCTAACCATAAAGCATAACTATATACTTTTTTGTCAGCATGAATGCCAAATTTATTTAGAATGTAATTACCAGTTAAAATGGTATATAGATTTCTGCGTCTGAATTTACCAAATTGAATTATTTGATGAAAACTCATCCACTGATCCAATAGATCAGCTGTTTTATTTCCATATATTCTTTGAAATTTAGTTTGCAAAACTTATTTCCAGTACAAGTAGTAGCCCAATATTGGTATATACCCCAATGTTCTCCATTAAAAGAAATATATCAGAATTTCTCAGTTTTAAACTTGCCTTTATACAATTATAAATATATCTTTCACCTATCGACAAGCTTTCTATTCTGAGATATACCAGTTGATTGCAAGAATAGCAGATTGCCATTCCACATGTCGGTGAGTATGTTTGTCTATCAACAAGATGTGGCAATGCTTTATGAGTATAAAAGCAATCTTTCTCACCATATGTATAAGATTTTTTATTTTGAAAATACATTAGGCGATTCCAAATCCTATTTTTCCACTCAGTTGGAGTTTCACCATTCTCAATATGACGCATACCAATATATTTGACATACTCTTCATAAGTACCCTCAAAACCTGTTTGATGACATAATAATTATACTTGATTATAGCTATTTATTGATTTATAGCAGTTTACACACGATTTAGTGAATTTTTACCAAGTTATACTATAATAAAATCATATTCATTTTTATTCGACTGTTCCGGTGAAACAGATTCATATTTTTTGATTCGGTTAAATTAGACCCGATCACCATAGCCTGCTAAAATATAAAATTTATATCACATGAGATCTCCCTAGTTCCTAGTCAGTTTCCGACACTTTCTCGCAACCTTCTCGCAACTCAAATCACAGGATGAGTTACAGATCAGAATTGCGTTGCTAATCAGATTTTGCGCAGTAGCTAAGCCACCATTATTATTCGATTAATCATTATATATTTTTCAACCTTAATATATTACGAACACCAATTCATTCCCAGCTCATTTAAATCATAACACATAAAAGCAAGTCCTTCTTCTCACCCCATTATCTCTTCTTCACTGAAACTTTCTTGAACATAAAAAATGTCTTTAAAGTGGAATGAAGAACAAATCCGTTTTCTCATCGACGAACGTAAGAATAGTAATGAAGAATACTACCAAACCCCTAAACGTAACAAGAAAAACTTCTGGAAAAAATTGCAGAGAAGCTTAATGAAACTAATAATTCGAATTACTTTATCAGGGAAGCTTGTAACAAGAAATTTTTAATTCTAACTCGAGTATATTATGTAAGTGATATAATAATCGAACACCTTTATATATATTTGACTTGATCTGATATCTTTGATATATGTAGACAGCTAAGGCCTATAAGAAAACTGAAGCAGAAATTAAAAAAAAAGAGAAGTCTAGTTGGAGAATAATATTACAAAGAATTCTCCACAGAATTTTGGAAAGAGCCTGGTATTTTTTTCGTGATATTCACATTAGTTAAGCTAACACAAAAGATATTACCTCTAAAATGTTTATTGTTTCTAAGAACACAACCTCCTACGATATTATTTAACACAGGTGGATGACTTTCTTCTGAGAATTTGAATCCTCTCGAAATGGGGTCTGATACTTCTTCCTATTCACATAAACAAACTGAATCATCAAGACCTGTAACGTCTTCTATTGAGACTGTAGTCTCTAGGCCCGTTACTCCTACTCTCCCCTCGTTCTCTCAAAACGCAAATGTAATAAATGTTAACATTAATTACAGTGGTAAAGGAAGGAGTGATTCAGAAGAATAATAAGAAATAGAGTATTTTTATTAGTATTATATGTATAGTGCTTAGCAACTGTAGAATAGCATTTTTTTAAAATGACTTAGCCATTTTTATGGTTAATAGAAAGAAAACAAATGTAATTAATAAATAATTACTTGAACACATTTAAAAAATTCAAAGTAAAATCTTTATTATATTAAACACGAGAAAGGCCAGCTGGCTAAGTAAAAAATAAAACTAATAAAAGATATTGGAGTAGATTTCGTTTAAAGGGAGTAATCACGCTATTTCTTAAGCCATAATATAGTGGTTTCTTCTCACTACCCCATATTATTTTCATTATTATTATTTGCGCTACTCACATTATTATTATTTCCACTACTTCTAGCAACTTTTCACTTTCTATCCATCTCATGATTAACATCACCATGCTAAATTTTGGATTTCCTTTAGCATAATAAAAGTTTTCCACAGTATTCTTCCTAATCATTTCTCCAGTAAGATCATGAACTTCACATCTCACGGTTTCAATCATATAATCCAAAGTATCCCCCACTTCCTTTTTCAAGTTGAAAACATGCTTAAAATGGTTCCTATTTTCTTTGAGAGATGAATTGGATGAAGCGGATGATGTACTTTTCTGATCAAATTTGTCTCGATGTTTTTAAGCAACTGCATAACATTGGATTATTTCATTTCTGAGAGTTTCAATAAAGCTTGATCGAAGTGAATTCAAATGAAATATTGCCAAAATCATTACGGCAGGCATCTTTGATATTATCAAGTCCTGTGGTCACATTATTGACCATTGATAAATTTTTCTGCGCCTCAGAGACGTAGCCAGCATTATGTGAATTGATTTTAGCAATTTCTGCGGTAAGTCTATTATTATTTTTGCCGAGCTTCGCAGTGAAAGAAGAATTAATTTCAGAAAGATGTGCGGAAAGTTTATTGGTGATTTTAGTATTAATTTCCGCATTGATGATTCTAGTAATACGTGCAGAAAGCTCATCAGAAATTTTTTGTTTGAGATTTGACTACATGGTAGCGATCCCTATGATTAACACTGGACTAATGAACAAAAAAATAGCGGTTAAGATCAAAAAGGCATGACCTCTGTATAGAGTTGAGCAATGATAAACTGGATATGATTAGGCGTAGTAATTTATTAAGAGATTTTATTAGTGGATCAAGTTTTTTAGATATATATGCAATTCTCTTACGTAAATGCGCTAGGAAAAAGGCTTATTTTATACTGTATGCCTACTACGCGCGAAAAGAGACTTTAACCTGATTTAATAAAACCATGTTGCTTTATTATGTGTATTTGTCATAACTACATTTTTCATGATTATATTCTTTTTTCAGCTAAAGCAATAATAATGGCCTGGATCCTATCTAATAATAATAAATGTCTCTTCCCGAATTTAACAATACGGCTTAAAAGTAAATCTGACAAATTACGGTTTTATGACAACTTAATATAATACTAATAGAGCAATGTCGTGTCTAAAAATTTTCTGTTTATTTCTAAGATCTCTTGTGAAACAGAAAATCGCATGTGTGCATCTTTGTTTGAGTTCAGAACCCCTATTTCAATGTAATCACAAAAAAGGAATATAATGAAATGGATTGAGGTCTGTAGATGACTAATCGTACATGTATAACTAATTCCTATTCAAAAATGGATTAATATGTGATTAACCTATACACGTAATTTGAATGTGCTAACGTCAGTAGGATAATAAAAATATACTATTTATCCAATGATCTGTAAATCATAGATTCTAATCGGCTCTATTTCCATTTTTGAATTTCTTTTTAATGACGCCCTGTCTTATGATCAGCATGTAAATCGGGATGTGTTATTTTTTTAGTAATTTAGAACTGCGTAAGTTGTGAGATAGAACATACCAGAACTTCTTTCGGCTTAGCGCTTGGGAAAGTTCATCAGTATAGCAACACAAAAATAATTCTCTTGGCCAGGGTTATTAATAGATCCTCTAAAAATTATGACTGTAGATGCCAGTAATGTACTACTGCGTATAGAATATTCTGCACAATATCTAAGCCACCCATGTGATTCAGAAAAAAAATAAAGTAATAACAATTCAGTCAATGCGAGTAATTGATTCACCTAATAATTCTTCTAGGTGGTTACCAGAGAGATAATAGGACTCATCATTGGTGAGACTTTCCTTTCATATCTTTCATCACAATAGTAATAACCTCTATCACATTCACCATATTCATTATATCCACCGTATCCATTATATCTATCATCATCTGATTCATCTGATATCTCTTCTTCAGAATCATCGAAATCAGAGTCATCATTACTTAAATTGGAGTTCTCATCGTTCGTATTAACAGATCCTGAAGAGACTATATCATCCACCTCATCAAAATACACATTATCATTGTCTTCATTTGAAACTAAGGGTTTCGCTTGTGCTTCTAGTGCCTTAGCGACTACTTCAGACTTTTTAGAGACCTCTTCAGACGATTCATTTGTCCCTTCTTCTTCCTTAAAATAAACTGTATCATCTGAGGTATCACTAAAATTATCATCTGAGTCATAAGTTAAAGTAGTAACTACGGTCTCAGAGATTTTCTCTATATGACTCTAATCAGTAATTGTCTTTGATTTGACCTGTTCTATGATGTATTCGATTTGGGGATTAGTGAGTTTTGAAATTTTGTTAGCATTACAAGTGACCCGCTTAACCATATACCCTGGTATATCATAATTTTTTTGAGAGTTATAGAGTCATATTTATAGCCAAATAGCTTATTGATTTTTCTTGTTTTACAGGTCATTACACATAAATATCCATCAGAAATGCCTGTAAGATATGGCCTCATTTCAGTGTAAATTTGTGATCTTACAGTCTTATCTGCAAGTTTCTTATCTTTGGATCTAAGCTTCACGACCATATCTTTGAATCTTTCAGAGAATAAACGCCAAGCTGTTATTTCTGCCTGTTTTGTTATGATCGTTTTTCCCTGCAACATTCGCTTGACAGAATGAATTGGCAAGTTTTTTGATGCTTATTGATCCAAGAATTAGGGTTCTGGAAGAAGAAAACTTTATAGGTTTCAGGAGTTAACCAGATAAGAGTAATTCTTCTAACAAACCTTGAACGAATTCGGTTACTATACTCACTTCTTCCGCTGATTTATCTTGATCATTAACTATTTTTATATCATGTGATACTTTTAAATTTACAATAGAATTCCCAATACATTTCTGAGCATGGTCCTGTGAGGTATTTGCAATGACCTCTTTTTCATGAGATGGCTCCAGGAAAGTACAACTATTATTTTTATCAATAATTTGACTTTCCAACACATTCAAGTTGTTAACAACGGCAACTGTATCTGTTGTACATGTAGGGTCTAATATGACATATTGTGCATCTGTCTCATGCTGAATTTTTTTCTTCTTATTGCATCGCCTGATTTCATCATTAATGCTTTTCTTATGCGTCCCATCCAAGAAAGTATCCATTTTTTTATCCTTTAATAGTTTATCAGAGTGGTTTGCAACCAAATTGAAGTTAAATGAGTTGTTGTTAGGAGTATTAACATTCTGCAGTTGTTTCTGTTCCAGTTTCACAACTCTATTGGTGGTATTCTCGATTTTAGCATCACGTCTGTTATTCTCTTCTATAATTTGCTTTATAAGTTCTGCATTTCTGGCCTCAACCTCAGCAAGCTTCTTTCTAAGTTCAGGAATCTCAGCATTTTCGATCTCAAGCTCGACTTTCTTAGCTTCAAGCTCAGTAATGCATTGCCTCAATAAATCTATTTTAGATTGCATAGCCTATATTGTATTGATAATATTCTTACGCTCTGTATGTTAGTATTCAAATCAGAAAAATATGTAGGTTATTTTGGCTGATCGTTAACTAGTTAACGGTTTTTTCCAAGATTTTTTTTTATGATTACAAGTGAAAAATAAATACATAGTTTGGGACTATGCCTGTGTTACATATTATTTTTTAATAAATTTTTTAATCTTAGCCCTCTTGCTAATTGGGGAACTATCAACACTAACCCGATCTTTCAATAACCCAACAATTATGCCAATTATCTTTTTTACATTGCTTTGAAGTAATTCGGGATTTTCTTTAACAGCGGATTTTGTAAGATTAATCTGATGCTTACTAATACTTGTAGAGTAAATACCATCTGAAGTGTATATGATAAAATGCCACTCTATACCCGTAGTCACAATACCATAGATATAATCAAAATAATCATTTCCAAATGCCTGATTCGCAATCCATTTCTTTTTATTTGTCTGAAATGCACTCTCAAGTTACGCCAGATTCTAAAAGATAAAACGTGTTAATATTATTGAATCTCTAAAACACGAACTGAGTAGTAAACCTACTTGGGCATATCCAATCTTAATATTGTGTTGTTTCTCCTCAGCAACACATAGAAGGTCTTTCAAACTTTTGATTACATAGTCTACTCAACCCGTTGCATCTTCACCGGAAATGTCTTTTTGTAAAACTATGAATATATCTTGAAAGGTGATATTCTTAGCTATAGCAATAGAAGCATGAAGAATTGATGAAATAAATTCACAACATGTCGCCTCATTGGCGTCAGTCATAGTCTTCATGTTCGAAAGTTTTAAGATAATATCATCTATACAATGATTGAGCACCTTATCACCATCATTGATATCCTCAAAGACTGTGAGGAAAGAAATAAGGTTAGTATAGCCAACTAGTCAGTTCTGAAAAATTAATCGGTAAACTGCTTGATGCTTGTTATATCTTCCCTATTGACCTTATTTTACACAACATTTCCTTCAAATCATCAAGAATTTTAAGCGAGGAATAGTTTCATAATTTCTGGCTGAGACTCTCAATAAATTCTGCAAGTCTCTTTGCAGGGCCAGCTTTCATATCATAATTTTGAAACTCTTCTTTAGTTGTATTAAGAAAGTCAAGGCCAGCAATTTTCTCTTTGTGAAGAATTTTAATATTGTTCTCATCAAGTTTTAAGTCTTTTCTTCCCAAATATTCGATAAGTTCCTTTGTATTAAAATCCTTAATCATGTCTGACATTGTTCTAATAAATATTTCTTCTATTATTGAGGCGGGTAAAGCGGGTGAAGAAGCTTGTGAAGATATAGTTTTTATATATGTGAGTTTGTGCTTATGAAAAAATATGCAGTTACAGGTAAAGCTGGTTTATGGATATAAAAGTATTTTTGGTTTCAGCGCTCGGGTGGAAATGATAAATTTTTTTGTATTGATTCATAATACATTTGCCCAATATATATATATGCAATTAAGATGTAGTTAGAACTGTCAGATGATTATATTACATCATTTCACATGACATTTTTCAAGATTTACGACAAGAACGTAATATATGCTTTATTTAAGAAATAAAAAATGTTATTAAAAGTCAGCCTATAATACATAAAATTGGCCATTAAGACACTTCGCACAACTATATCGCTACATGATGCGAATAAAAAATATTACTTATTCTTAGGTTTTATGGAAATGTGAACTTGATTCTGAACAAGAGGTTATTGAAATACTTAGAGATCTCTTTGGTTGATTCCATGAGTTTATCTTCAACATAAAGGTCGAAGTTGGGGAAGAGAGCTTGGTAACCTTGATTTAATAATAAAGTTTTAACGGAAGATTTGAGAGTGAAAACCTTATCTTCCTTGCAAAGCTCAATCACGAAATTTTTTTCATCCTGCCCATCTTGAAAACCACACTTAAGTTTGATAGGATTTGTATTGGCCATTTGTTTTTATTATCTATAGTTAACAAGCCTATAGTAAGAAAAACTCGCTCCCATACATACATTATTTAGGGCATATAAATACCTTATTTTGCATTATAGTTTTTTGCAGAAAAGTTGGCTGAACTTTCACATTCCTCTACATGCTTTATATCTTGCTGAAAAAAAGTTAAGAAGGTATGAGGCGTAATTAGTATTGTCGTATGATGCCAAGACCTCCATGAAAGCACATGCAAACAGAATCTTCTTACCTTTTCACATGTAGATCTACCGGAAAGACATATACAATCAGACCTCCATATAATCACCTAATTAGTTTCACTGAAATTAGTGATTGTATAGAAGTGTGACTTATAAAAAGGTAACTTCTATATAATCACCATAATATTAAAAGTTATGTGAAGTGATTATATAGAGGCTATTTTCATTTTTAAGTTAATAAAGATTAAATCAATAATAAATTTTATTGTATATTTTAAAATTATTTATTTATTAGCTGATATTAGATGTTAAAATGTAATTATATTATTCAAATGTTATATAAATGCTATAAATGCTATAAATGCTATTAACAACTAATTAGTTACCAAAAAAATCTGTAATTGATGCTTGCTTTCAGGATTGTTGCTCAAGCCATTTAATTATCTTAAAATACCCTTTAAAAAGATTTAAATCCTCTATACGAAATTCATCAGTGTACTGCTGTTCAAAAAAGGAAATCCAAATCTTTAAAGATTTAAGAGCATCACCGGAAGATACTAAAATATCTTCTTCTTCAGAGTCATCATCCTGATTACATGTTTCCTCTTGGATTAGTCTTATAATATCATCTTCACTTAAAATATCTTCAGTTAGAATTTCCTCTAACTCTTAAAAAAATTGGTTAATGCATCGGCTAATAAAGCAGTAGAAGGGTTATCCATATTAAGCTCTTCAATAATTTGATCGATATTGGTTATTTCTTCATTCAAATTTTCTTGTTGGGTTTGAAATGCATCATCTCTATCTTCATCAGATAAAGAAGGCAAAATTCCAGTTTTTTTCTAACAGTTCAATACTGTTTCTTCGGTCACACAACCACATACTTCTGCAATATAGTTAATCGCTTCTTTTATATTAATCTTTTCACTATTTATATCTTTCTCATTTTCAAATAAATCTAGTATATAACGGCAATACTTTCTCTTAAAGTGGTTTTTAAAACTTGCAATGACTCCGGCATCGAGCGGTTGAAGATGGCTTGTTGTATTAGGAGGTAAGAAGACAACTTTGACATGAGTTAGTTGGAGCTGAAAAATGTCAGATTGATGTCCTTCCGATCTACCATGATGGCCATGACCTGATCCACCATGACTTGATTCACTACAACCTGATCTGCCATGATGGTTACGACCTCTTGATCTGCCATTATGACTACCACAACCTCTTCCCTATAAATAATATGTATAAGGAAAGTATACGGAAATAATACGTTTAAAAAACGTATAATAAACGTAGAAAAACA